TAAGAGTCTCCTGTAGCAAGGAATCTCAATGTAACTGCTAACCTTTTGTCAACTGGAACTGCGTTTCTCATGTTAGTGTCATTTTTCATAATTTTTGGTCCAATTTTGCACAGCAAAAATTCAAAGTCTTCTGATTCCATACGAATAAAGTTTTTAAACTGTCCAGTAGTTTTGTCAAATTTTAAATGATCCAATAAATTTGTCCCAGTTTCTCGTTGTCTAAACAAGTGAGTGGTCCACCATCTTCTATTTCGTCGACTTGTCTTTTTTTTGTTTTTTAAAACAGAATGTAACACTATTAACGCGGCACTTTTAACTTTAAGCTCATGTTCCAGCAAAACTAAATTATTTTCATGAAGAGACATGATTAATTATTATTTTAATAATATATAATCAAATACAGTAATTAAAGTGTATTTTATTAGTAAGTAAATTGTACTACAACTGCTGTACTTTGTTGTAAACGTCATCCATTCATGCTCGCTGAACAATAACTAAAAATCCGGAACGCGTATTTGACGCACAGATATCAAGTTGTGCGATGCAGCGTCCAAACAGAGCATACACAAGCATTCGTGTTCGCACACAGCGAGCACACATGCTCAGCTTGTGCGTGCTCTCGTGTGGACGCGCCTTATGATAGGTATTTTAATTTGGTTATACTGTAATTAGCAAGATATTATTATCATAGAGACTCAATTATCGTAAGATAATATAATCTCAGAATCTGATGTATACTTATTTTTTTCCTACAATCTATGTCACCATTCAACATAATAATAATAATAATGATAATAATAAACTTGTACAGTTCGTGTACAGCTTACATTCTTACTCATTGCCCATTGACCTATATTCAATACTCATATCTTTATAGTACCTTCCTTAGGGCTTAGATCATGATCTAAGGTATCCAGTACCCACAGGCCACAACCATGTACCAGTGTACCACTCGCCACCATGGTGGTACGGCACCACCCAAATAAATTAGGTATTGCATCTGCAATACCTGAACATAGGGATCGGCGCCTCTGGAGCGTTCCTAGCTCGTGAAAACGCAACGTACAATTGCCCGTGAGTGAACACGGGTGACGGCAGATGCAAACCAACCCTGTCAAACGTTTGACCCTGGGATTTTTTTATGGTCATCGTGAACGACAACCACACCGGAAACTGAAGCCGCCTCATTTCGAAAGGCAGATCATCCTCACAGCTATAAGCGACCGAAATTGGAGGTATGACGATGTCCTGTGCGTCGCCGCCACCTGACAACATCCTCGCCGTAAGTTGTGTTGCCGCAGTTCGGTTGCAACCAGCCTCGTACCGTTGCACAGTCATCTCCTTGAATCGAGATTCCTTAGCAACTTGACTATAGCACCGACTTTGAGATTCGATGCGTACGGCGATACACCGTTCAGTTCCAAAGAGTTAAGGAACTCAATAGGATAGTTGGCGACCTCGTCCGAGTCGATAGCCACTACCGTATCTATGCCGTAATAGATACTTCGGCTGCCACAACGCGTTGAAACACTTGGCGATTGATTGTACGACATTCCTCGTTCTTGGAGCACCATGTAAAAAATACGGTCGACCTCGTGCAGTTGACCGTTGCCTAGCCTCAGTAACCAATCCGTGAAGTCCGCGTCGTTACCGGCGCGTATGTTTTGCGTAAGTTCAAACTTCTCCGTGTTCCTCCACAAAGAGTTGTGTTTGATTGACTCCAAAACGACGGAACTTCTTGTCTCCCTGAAGACGACGGTCAATATCTGTCTGAAGTCGACCGTGAACCGGATCGGTTTGCCGCCGAACGTTGTGTGTGATCCCATGAAGTCCCTGAGCAAGCAATCGACTCCCCGTGAGCTGTGTTCCCGGTGACATTGGCCATTCGTCCTGGTCGATTAGCGCCGCGTCGAGTATCCTCTGTGTTGGTAAAACACGATTGCGTACGGTCTTTATCGACATACGCAATAGTGAACATTTAATGTTCACGATTGCGTACGATTTTTATCTGCACCTTTTAACTGCACTGTTGCCATTTGCTTTGAACTTATAGAACAGGGCTAGCCAAACTTTTTTTGGTCACGATCTACCAAAAATATGCTTCACCTTTGAGGATTGACTTATTAATCAACTTATTGATCGACTATTATCGAAACATAGAGCGCGTGGCCCTAAAAATAAATTCTAATATGATCGACTTTGAAATTGTCCGAGATCGACCGGTCGATTGCGATCGACTGTTTGGCCGCCCAATTATTCTATAATATCGAACATACAATTTAAAATTAATTGATATCCGATCGGTGATATTTGATAGGCGATAACGAAATCGGTTATTTTACTAGGATATTTTAGAATATTTGCACTCGATAAAATATTATGTATACTGCAGTATATCTATCATTTAATAACTCAGTGAATAACCGTCGTTGGATTATTAACTTCAACGCGTGTTTCGTGTTTTTCGAGTGAAATATGGAAAATAAAGTTAATTTTATGACTTCTGAAAAAGGTAGACAACTAGTTTTACTAAATCTGCATAAATATCGGTTTATTAGAGAAAGAAAGGACGGAATGAAAAAATGGTTGTGTACAAAAAAAACATGTTATGCGAGTATTTTGACAAATGGAGAGTGTGTCCATGAAACAATTAATGAACACAACCACACTGAAAATTCAAAACAGAGCATTGAACGACAAGTATTACGGGAAGCTTGTAAAAGAAAATCAAATGATACTATTTGTGTAAGACCCATAAAAATAATTAGAACCGAACTTATGGGGAACAGTCACTCTGAAATCAAGCACAGAGATGTACGATCAATTCGAAAAGCAATGTACGATGAACGTCGAAAAAATTATCCCGCTTTTCCAAAATCACTAAATGAGTCAATTGAACAACTTAAAGCAATGGAAGATGACGATATAATACAATTTCAAGGTAAACAATTTGTTTTTATTCCCGACAATAAATCGTTTGTTTGTGTTACTACAGAACAGAATCTTTATTTTATGACAAGTACAAGTGAATTTTACGCTGATGGTACTTTCAATTATGCACCAACATTTTTTGCCCAACTGTACACAATCAATAGTTATACAAATAGGTTTTATGTACCAGTGGCATACTTTTTATTACCAAATAAATCAAAACAAATTTACGCAGACATGCGGTTGTTTTTACAAGAACTATACGAAAAAATTGTTTTTAAAAATTTATTGGTTCTTAAAGAACATTTGGATTTTGAAATCGGTGCCTATGAAGCGGTAAAAGAAGTTTTCCCTAACATCGAAATAGATGCATGTCGATTTCACTTAGGACAGTCTTGGTGGCGCAAGGTAAGTTTATTGAATTAAATAAATTAAAATCAATAGTTAATCAATACATTTGCGTTATTTGTAGATTAATTCTGAAAAAGAACTTCGTTTGGCCTATACTAAGAACTCCAATTTGGGAAAATGGTTAAAACTTTTTTTTGGATTACCATTTTTACCTAAATCCAAAATGCGTTTGGTGAACTCATATCAATTTGTCCCGATTTAAATATTGGATGTTTGTTTTCTGACTACATTTTAAAATTTTAAATACATACGTGGAGAATGGTTGTTTATTTCCGCCAGAAATTTGGGCTCAAGAGCCATCCGAAAATCCTCGGTAAATATTCAACTATATAATTGCTATAATAACTATGATTTTATATTTATATTTATTTTTTTTTTTAAGTACGACAAATGGATCTGAAAGTTTTCATCGAACCTACAGTGCTCAATTTCATAGCTCCCATCCTTCTGTCCATGTAGTTATTTCAATTCTAAAAGAAACGCAAGTGGAAACATGTACGAAAATTCAATCAGTATTTAAAGGTAGGATTAAAAAAATGGAAAATGCTGATTTAATTCGTATAAAATAAGTGACGAAAGAATATAACAAGTACAAAAAACATAAAAATATTATAACATATTTGTCAAAAATTTGTTATTTATGTGGTACCAAGGTATAACATTTTTTATTGTATTATTTTAACATTTTATTAATTTTAATTATTTTATTTTGTATACTATATTATAACATATTTGTCGAAAATTGAGATTTTTAAGTGGTACCATAACTTAAGTCATTTTTCCAATATTTAAATTTGACTGATCACAAATAAAAACATAAATTTGGCGACGTTGCACAGTAAATCGTACGCAATCGTTTGATTTTTGGGGTAAATATTAAAGTTAATGGTTTAACGTACGCAATCGTGTTAACGTACGCAATCGTGTTCTCAAAAAGATACAACGTACGCAATCGTATGGTACCCCTCTGTGTGAGCAAGGTCGCATGGTGATAGTCGATATAGAGTTGTCGGTCAGTACAGGTTCAACGACAATCCGAACGTCGAGTGCACTGTCATGCCACCGTCCATGAGTAACACGGTGATCCCAGTGAAATGACAACTATTCAATTTTGGTTGGTCAAACTGAGTCACTCAATTTTCGAATCTTGAAACACTGATCCAACTCAATCAGTTCATCTGAAAGAGTCGATTCATTGAGCCTCATTAACAACACATGCGACATGCCTAATAGTTAGTCTATTTAATATTATCCACCGTGAGGGTTTGTGAATGATCCTTTTTTTTGCCATCTAGGAGTTTAGTCTCCTACAATACAATAACAACTTTTCGATGTCATGACCTCAATTAATCACCTTTTATAAAAATACCCACACAAAACAGAATAATGTCGGAAAATTCGGTCCTTAAAATAGTCCGTAGTACTCTTTGATAGAGCTGTTTTACTTATTAACTCTCGTAACTTAGTATTAATCAGAATTTTGTTAACTTTATTATGATTTGTGAGAACATTTCTTCATAAACACTATTATTTTAGTTTAAATACGTTTGTAACTGTATGAACAATTTATTTTTACATTTTTAAACACAATATTTTGCTACATTAACGACTGATGACAATCTTTAAGAATAAACATTTGTCACGCAAGTGTTAAATCGTCATTTTACTTTCATCAAATATCTCCCGGGCAACGGTCCAATAGTTCCTGATCGAACCTTTTCAATAATTTCAGCGACATCTAAACGTATGGCACCAGGTCTCCAATTTCGATTTATCTAAAAACCGTTGAGGGTTTTAAATATTTTATTTGCATAATGCGTTTTGTATATTTTAGAATCATCATAGTAGACCCAACGCATAATTACTAATACCTGTTTTTATAATATTTATGGCTAGTAAGAAAATCTTTTATCATCGTTTTTAAACATTAATAGTTTTGTTGTTTTTCATTGTATTTTACGTTATTTTTTTATCAATTTCAGTCCATATATTTCAAAGCGTTATGTTTTAAATTACAATCATAGAATGTATGCACATCATGTTAATTTTATAATATACTTAATAGTACTATAGTTAAACCTAATTATAATATAATCGACAGTACATTCCTATGCAACCGAGAGGGTAGGTCAGGCATAATAATAATTAAGTCTCTAAGGAGAAGCAGATCTAAGTAATTAGGAAGGTGATAATTGTGGTGCTTAAACTTAAGAAAGAAAATTCAAAAGAACAGCTCTTGAAATTAAGTGTTTATAACACGTTATACATTGTTTCTAGATGTCAGTGGGGGACGCTAACTTATATAAACCCCAGCAATTACAAGAACATTGTTAATTCGGTGTCTCCTAATTGCGGACAAAGTGACACAACATGGAAGTTGAGGACGAAATCTAAAAAGTTAACATACGAATTGCGGACACAAATACATATAACACACTAATTGCGGACAAATGTCCATTTATTATTTTTGATATAACGATTGTGGAAGTTGGAAATTACTGTTTGATATTGACGATATACTGCTATACGCGATTTTATAGATTATGTTTTTTTAACTGTATAAATACAGATTATGTTTTTTTAACTGTATAAATACAGATTCTGCATTGTTTCCTCCAGAAATATGGACAACATTTTCTTTTTCTATTTTACGAACCACAAATGATAGTGAAAGTTTTCAAGCTAAACATTATGGTACGTTTTATCGCAGTCATCCTAATATATAACAATAGATCGAGGTTTTAAATGAAGAACTGACTAGTAGCTATACGAAAATGAATTGTGCTGTACGAAATTTAAAATTTCGAAAAGGAGGCATTTATCAGCAAAGATGTTGCAATATTTGAGTGGTGAAATCAATGTTCACAATAATTTTATAAATAACGATTGCTCTTTTGTAAGACACACATATTTTTAACCTCACCTACCAAATTTTGGTAGCTTATCCTAAGTCCTGAAAAAGTGGTGAAAGGAAATATTTGTGTCCAAAACTAGAGTGGTTTTTATTAAAAAAATACTGTACATAAATAGTATTATGATAACGAAACTCGTGTCCGTAATTGTTATGTTTTAATATTGACCTAAATAATTCGTTCACAACTAGTATATTATGTCCTGCTGAGTCAGTGCTGACTTTCACAGATAGGTTCATAATGAAACAGGTCCATCCTACTAAGATAGTCATCATACCAAAATAATTAAAATTAAAATTATCAACATTGTAAAATTATTTATGATTTTATTAAAGTTCGAAAACACCTTCCTGGGTGGATTAACTTTAAATAATAATGTTACAATAATATTAACATAAGTATTTTTTATTAGGTGAGCATTTATAACTTACTTTAACACCACTGGTTTCTTCGACTGACCATTGCCATCCCATGGTCTTAGGAGTTTTTATCGGTTCTATTATACAATCTATATGTCCAAACGTCTTACCTGGATACATTGTCCTGGCAATTTGTATAATTTTGTCATTAGTCATGAATTTGTCAAAAGATTTTTCAGGAAGAAATATCCGGGAACAGTAATCGCATTTTTTCTTTGTACCTCTCTTCTTTGGACGCCGAGGCGTGACCGACTGTACAGTGGTTGTGTTCACAGAACTAAACACAGGGGGATACATCTCATTCAAAGAGACTACTGCAGTCCTATCTTTTTTTTTATTTATCTTTATCACTTTTGTCAACATTTTTTTTTTTTAATTTTAAATTTTAAATAGTATTTTTATGCATTTTAAAAAGTTTGTTATATAATTAAATTATTTGAATTTATGTGGTGTTGTTAAGAAAAATAAATGAATGTTAGTTTATGTTGATATGAATATTATATGTTTCTATACTCATACAGCAAAAATACATTTTATATACATTATACTCATGTAGTATATTGAAGTTTTATTGTTTGAATCTATTTTTAATAATTAATCAATGATTAATGATAAATACTCAACTTTATAATAGCTGAACGTTTAATATACAATTTTAGATTTTAAATATAAAATACAACTGAACAAAAATTATTAACATCTTGACTAAATATATAGGTATGATCACAGCGGTGCGTGACCTTGTCCAAGGTCTACTCCTCCTACATTTATCGTACCTAATTTCATATGTAGTCATAATGTTAGGCACCAATATTTTATTATATGTGAATATTACCTACACTTATAAGCTCAGGCGTAAAAGTATACCTAAAAGTTAGTAAGTTAAGTCTGTCGTATCATATGGGTCGAAACAAATTATAAAAAATGGCATCTAATTTTTTCCATGATCAATTTTCTTTTTCTCTTTCAAGATTTTCTAAAAAGTTGTTATAAACAAATTTAAAAGGTTTTTAATTTATCGTATTCTTTTCAAAAATGTATCTGAAATAATAATATAATATAATAAAATATATATAAATATATATATATTGTTATATAATAAAAATTAACTTTTTAAATGGGTAAAAGGGCGCAAGTCAAAAATCAGTGTCCACCTATTTACGCCTCACACAAAAATATTTATCGTGTACACAAAACTATGTTTTTCCATTCACGCTGGTTATACTGTTTTTTTTTAAATTTGATAAGCTAATTATTAATTATTAAATAATTTGTTTTTTAAATCTGAATTTATATTTTTAAGTTACCCATTTATTATTCAGTGTCTATGATTCGTTGTTTAGTTAAGTTGTGTTTTTCTCAAGTAGCTAACTCAATTTATAAAAATGAATTTACAAAAATGTATCAACGATTTTCAATCACTAGTTTACCGCGTACAAAGTAATTAGACTCTAGTCTATCCAGAATGTACTTCTCTCCATTCTCATTTACAAACATACATAAACTTTTCTGAAAATTATTTTCAAAATAAATACGAACTTTCCGAATGCGGATTAAAATATTCAGGTGTTGGAGATATCGTTGAATGCTTCTGCTGTGAGCTAATTCTTCATAATTGGGAGAAGCAGGACAATCCATGGATCGAACATTGCAGATACAACCCAAAATGTAATTATTTATAATTAATTCGAGGAAATCAGTTTGTTCAAAAAATACTAGCTAAATATTGTAAAACCGAACATATCTGTACTAATGAAAATAGGTCATACGATACCGTTTGTTACATTTTGTATAAGTTATGCTCAGGTCCTATTTTTTAGTGAACCCTGACACAAAGTGTGTAATCCGAAATTGAAAGTGTGCACAACGGATTCGAGAAGTGTGTACCTACTAAATACTAATAAATAAGACTAGATAGTAGTTCGTGATGGGAATAATCGAATGAAATAATCGAATCAACATAAATTTATTATTAAAAAATGATCTTTATTCTCTATTAGGTATTTAATATTTATAGATAGATAGTATATATTACATAGTACATAGTATCTTAAACTTTTAAAATTGAATGCTTTATTGATTATTCATTAATATAGATTAAAGGGGTTCTAAGCGATCAGATTTTTCATAAATTTAAAGCAATAAGCTGGCGAAAAAAAACATACTTTTAGAAGTACAATTTTAATTATGAAAAATAATTTGAACTCGTTAGCCTCTTTTACTATGTTTTGTAGGAAAAACATTTTCATTTTTACGACTTTTCGGCACTTTTAAGTACATGTTAATTTTGAGAAATTAAGAAAAATCATTTGTAACTGTACTACATTAACTACACAGAATGTCTGAAATCTATTTCCTACAAATCATAAAGCACAAACTAAAAAATTCAAATTATTTTTCAAAATTGAAATTGGATTACTAGAAGTATGTTAATTTTTCGCCAGCTTATTAGTATTATTCTTTGTCGCTTTGTCTTTGCATATTTTCAAACGGCTTTTGATGAATTGTGCACGCGCGTATGTGTGCTATGAACATGGTTGTCCCGTTCGCCCGCAGACGGGCGATATGAAATCTATTGTATTTTATTATGGATTATTCTTCGAAATCCTAATTTTATATTTTACATGATATTTAGGACAGAATTGATTAAAGATAGCTGTCATCAATATTTTATGCGCGAACGAGTACTCTCTTACCGGCACGATTATATTAGTAAGTTGTTACCATGAGTTTGTAGTTTGTGTTCATTTTACGCAATTGCAAACAACGATCAATTTATAAAAATGAGTGACTGCCGATTTAGTAAAAAAACGCGTCCAAAATTATCTGCGCCACGGAAAAAATCAAGGCATAATTTGAAAAATATACGTAAAGAATACATCAAAAGTACTAAGTTAGGTATTCCTCATCTAACCTTAGAAAACAACGATATTCAGGTATCTATGATTTGTTTAGTATAATACATAGTATTGTTATAGAATTATAAATAAAATAATATATCATATTATATTATTTTACATTACATACCTATCTACTTTATTATTCATTGATTTTTGCAATAGATTTTGGATCATTCTAATACTTCTGCAGATGAAAATGACGACGAAAACAATGATGGAACTGACAGCAGGTAATTTATTATTAGATAATCAATTATAATTATACATTTTTAATTTTTATATTTTTATTTCATAGAAATACGGACGATGCACATATAAATAATAATATATTTCATTCTACGTACAGATTGGTAGTATCAGACAAACATGAACAAAATGCCGAAGAGGCAGAAGAGTAAGTAATTCATGTTTGTTACTACATATAAGTAAAATATGTTTAGTTTTTATTTCAATTATAATATTGTTTCTAATATTGTATTATTTAAAATATGGTTGAATTTCTTGATAAAATTGGATCTAGTTTATACTTGAGAGATCAAATTCTAATGGTGGGTTTAGACGGCGCGAGTTTGACTCGCGAGTATGACTCGTGAGTCATACTCGCGCATCACTACCGTGAGCGAGTCCCGCGAATCTGATTCATGGTGAGTCGTGACTCACCTAGATAAAGGGTGAGCCGTCGTCAGTATCCGCGAGGCAGCCATGGCAAATGTTCCTACTGTGAGTCCTATGGTACCACCTCGTGCAGCTGCAGCATTTGCCTTTATTGCAGCCCATATTTAAAAAAAAAGAATTGCAAGTCGGAAAAAACGTCAACGCCGTTGGTGGATGAAAGAAATATTTCGCCAGCGATTTCAATACGGAAACAGGCTAATGAGGGATATGCAAGTCGAATTAGTTGATGACCTCATCATGAATTTCACGCGCATGACAATCGATGATTTTGAATATCTTGTGTCACTTATCGGTCCTAAAATTGAAAGAACGAATACAAACATGAGAGAACCCATAACAGTCAAGAAACGACTTGCCATAACCTTAAGATTTTTAGCCACAGGTGATTCCTATACGAATTTACAGTACCTGTTCAGAGTATCAAAGAGTTCCATTTCTTTGATCGTTCCAGAAGTGTGTGGCGCTATAAATGAAGTACTTCAAGGTTACGTGAAGGTAAGTGGACTTTAAAAAATATTTTCTAGTATCTATACTTGCAAATGAACATTTATTTCATCATATTATTATATTTTACTGTGTATAAAAAATGTATTAAATATTCATACTGTATTAATTAAAATATATAATTAAAGTAGGTATAAAATAAAAAAAAATAAATAAAAAACTGTTTTTAAATATGCCGAAGCAACTGGAGTAGGTGTAGTTATAAAAAATGTAATTTTAACAAAAGTAAATCTATTTTTATTTAAAAAATGACTAAGGAGAAAAACTGCTAGTCGTTTGATGTGTCTCCGCTGGTGATGGCGCAGGTGAAGCAGTTGTTGAAGTCAATACTTGATACTCAATTGGGGATACTGCACTTATCTGTGGTGTATTGTACCTATAAAATAATGTACCTTGATCTGCTTCAAATAAAATATCAGCAAATGCCCGCTTTACGTAACTGAGTGTCATTGGGTCATATTTTCTCAGCTCATTTGAGAGATGCTGACCATATGAATAATAAGGGTCATTTGCTATTTCATTGGATGAGCGTAGCACCTGGAATGCATCATTCAACATAAGTAGATCCTTGTCTTGCTCCTCATGTTTCCTTTTTTTGCCAGTCTTTTTGGCAGTCTGCTGACTACTACTAGTGGTTGGAGGTAGGAGATTACTTGTTTCCTGTTGTAAACTACTACCTTCAGTATCCTGACTTGGTGGGTTATCTTCTGTTCCTTGTTCTTGCGATTCCTTCAACATTGAGAAAATAAAAATACTTTTATTTCTGCTTATGAAGATAATATGTAGAATTTCAAAAGTTTGAAATAATTAGTAAACATTGAAATAAATAATTAAACAACCTTCCCAAAATTTGTTTGCAATATATAATATAATATTATAAAAAGTATTTTATAAATTAATTTAATATAAAATGAAAATTCACTTTGCGTAGGCAGTTGCTATTGTTGCTATTGTTGCTTATTGTTCGTAAATAGTTAAAAAATATATCTTACAGTAAATTTAACTAATTTTTTTTCGTTATCACTGATAACTTAGATCAGCATGAAAAATACTTAAAATTAAAAAAAATTTAAAAAAATGTGGCCGATAAAGTAACAATGTTTTACATTACAGATACCATCAAATGAAGAAGAATGGTTGGAAAAAGCCAAGGATTTTGAAAATAAATGGTCCTTTCCTCATGCTATAGCTGCTATGGATGGCAAGCATGTCATTATACAAGCTCCCTCATTCAGTGGGACTGAATACTATAACTATAAACAGTTTTTCAGTATTGTACTTTTTGCGTTAGTTGATGCTGACTACAATTTTATGTATGTTGACGTTGGTACTCAAGGACGTATATCAGATGGTGGCGTTTTTAAAAATACTAATCTATATAAAAAATTGGAGAGACATGATTTAAATATTCCCGAGCCACATGCATTGCGAATTCCATACTTATTAAAAGTACCATATATGATCTTGGCTGACAAAGCATTCGCAATGAATGAATATACAATCAAACCATTCGAAGGAAATCCAGAGGTAGGTTCACCCGAACGTGTTTTTAATTATCGACTTTCCAGAGGTCGTCGAGTTGTAGAAAATGCGTTCGGGATACTGAGTGCTGTTTTTCGTGTTTTAAGGAAAAGTATGGCGTTGCAACCCGAGATAGCATCGAAAATTGTCTTAACAACTATATACTTGCATAACTTTCTGAGAAAACGTCCTTCATGCCTAATTTACACCCCCCCAGGCAGTTTAGACACGGAAAAAGATGGAGTGTTAACTAATGGTAGATGGCGACAAGAGCAACCAACATCATCGCTTTTATCTATGCGAAATATTCCACGTAGAATAACTGATCATGCCAAGACAGTACGTTTACATTTAGCTGATCATTTTGTTTTGAACGACGTTTTACCTTGGCAAAATAATTACTAGAGTCAACTATAAGCTAACCATATAATTTTACCCAACTATTTTCAAAGAACTATTGAAAATTAATTAAAAATTAAATATAAATAATAATATAATAATTCAACTATGAAGCACTTACTTGGTTAAACATGGTGTCTAGAGTATCATTTGGATTATCTTTATCCATCATGAAATCAAAATACTTATACGCGAACCATTTTGACAGATACACGTCCTCACTTCCTGTTAACAACCATCATAAATATATATTATAATATTTATAATTAATTAATTAATTAATATTATATATTATAATATTTTATATGTTTATATCACAGGCTTATTTGTAACAACATTTTATAATATTAAAAATTAAACATTTTAGACTAATGTTACTTTGTTTGGTAATATAATTTGTTTTTATATTAACGTAGGTATGTGTTTAATTTTATTTTAAATCTCAATTATTAAAAAATTTAACATAAGTTCGATAGTAAAATAAAAGACCAAAAACAATATGAATTTATTTATTTCTATGTATTATCATCTGTTTTTCAGAAAAAATTAGTGTCACTCGCTATATTATTACTATATCACACTGAATCTATTGTACACATACAGATAAATTTAATTTGCATATTCATTTATAAATTTATTAAATTCAGATTATTTGTTTGTTCTATTAATAAAATAAGTAGTGGGTATTAGGTATAGTCTTGGGAGAAATTTATATAAATACTCTATGAATAGATAAACAACAGTACTATAAATATAAACGAAGTGAATTATCTACATCCTAAACGTTGCAGTAAAATTATATTTATAAAACAATATATGGACTCGTCGAACAAGTCATTCGTCTCCTATGTGTTAATAATCCACGTGTTAATAATACAAATATGTTATTAATCAATATCATTGGCGTGTTACATTTTGTTTAACAATATTTATTAATTTATTAATTTATCAAAATATGATTCATTTATATGGAATAATAAAATTATGATTAAAAAATATTCTAACCAGATCCTGTTATACGACTTTTATTTTGTCGTGACTTCTCACTCCGATAGGTACCCATTAAAGTTTTCATCTTCGCCTTCATTACTGAAACTGGGAGTTGTAAACATGTTTCAATTTCTCGCCAGGCATCCTCTCGCTTGTTTTTATTGTGATACAGCTTTTCTCGCGAATTCCACAAAATAGGATACTTTTTATATGTTTCAATTAATTGAATACATTTAATTTGATCCATTTTGATAATGCGCACAGACAAATAATTACGTTTACAAGGCGCGAAACAAAAGTGCGAATCTCCTTTGACGCGCACCTCGAGACCGACTGACTGACGGCTCGCCGCGCATCCGCCTCGCGAGTCGTGATTCGCGTTCTACAGCCGTCTACACGTCACGAGGATTGACTCGCGAGTCCGACTCGCGAGTCAAACTCGCGCCGTCTTTACAATAATCAAACATAACAATAGATGCAATGATTTTATTCCGTATGTAACACAAATAATAATAATAATAATAATAATAATACTTGTTAATTGTAATGTAAAATAATATCAAAATATAAATATTTATTTTACAATAAAAATAAAGATTTTAGAATTAAATTATTTGCATGGGTAATGTGTAAGTGGTATGTTTGCCTCTGTTCTAAGAATATTTTATAATGTATTATATTATTGTTAGTAATTAATTTTTTATTAGAAATATACTATGTTGAACTCAATTTCGCAAAAAACATGGCATATGATTATGTTTTTCATAATAATAATAATAATAATAATATTATATTATAGTATTATAGGTTCTAACTGAACAAACTAACCTATCAATTGAGAACAATTAAGTACATTAGGTATATCGTATATGGTATTGATTATTGATTAGATACAAAATACAATATTAATTTAATATATACATATCATATATTGTAAAGAAATAAGTTATACATGTACAATATAGGTCATTTTTTCGAGAGTCTCATCCTGTACTGTAGCACTCTGATGGCCACTACAGTGACATGATTGTTGCACATTTATATATTATACTAATTTAATATGAATATTAAATAGTCATCGTTGTTATCTAACTAAACGAGTGTTCCGGCCGCAAGTGTCATACCAGTAGATCGTCGGGGAACAGTGAAACGCTCTGGTCGCCGAACTCGTTTTGGCTGACAAGCTGCAGGGCCGAGTGGTCAGACGCGTCAGACAGGCTGTCGGTGTTGACAACCACCGGTTGAGAACCCGTCAAGCTCATGTCGTCCAGCGCCTGCAAAGAGCACAAAGAGGACCATTGTTCCGACGTCATGCTCGCGGCCGACTCGTCGATGCCCATGGACGGCTGTATGGGCACGACAGCCGTGTCATCGTGGTCAAGCAAGTCAACGACGTCATTCTGCCTGCCATCGATGTCATGTGGCCCTTCAGTAGTGTCTTTATGCTTGTCATCGGTGTCGCGTGACCCATCAACGGAGTCATACCGAATGTCATCGGTGTCGTGTGGCCCCTCGGTGGTGTTCTGCCTGCCATCGGTGTCATGAGGTCCATCAGCGGAGCCATGTTGCATATCGTCGGTGTCGTTTGGTTTGTCATTGGTGTCATGGGGTCGGTCGTCGGTGTCATGCGGTTTATCGGCAGAAGCACACTCACGGCCATTTATTCCATCGTCTGTGTGGGGCGGGATATCGGCAGTGGCACACCGACGGCTATTTTGACCATCATTTCGCGACAGCGACCACCCGTCGCCAGCCCGATCGATACGGGGAATCCGTGCTGTCACCCGTCCCGATCGAACGGGCACGGGCAGCCTGGAACCGGCGTACAATTCCACAGGCATATCCTGTCTCACGGGCGGTTTGGGCTGGCTCGGGCGTGGCACAGGTGTCCTGGACTCCGTGGACCGGTCAAACATCACGACACTTTGGTCTCTCGTTACCAACCTCAGCGGAGACAATCGGCCGCCATTCTGGGTTCCCCAGATCGGCGAACGTCCGTTGATGTTCCTGCGCGATGAATAACCGTTCTTGGCCGAGTCGTTACAGTCGTCAATTCCGGCGATATAATTATCACTTCCGGCGCCAAACCTTGCCTCATAATTACACCGACCACCTCCATGGAGACAACACGAAAGTTGCGAGGTGGCCGGCCGCAGACAGGCCGACTGCCTACTTGTGGGTCCGACCTTTGTTGTTTTTGGTCGAGCTGCGTACGCCGTTGTGATAGATTGACGCTGGCTGCGTGGCTCTGAAGATGTGCCATGCACAAAATAATGTTATTCCAATGAGGCTATAATTAAGAATGACTGATAATATTAAGTACTTGTGCTGCGAACACCAACGAAATCTGACTGTTTTGGAGGCGTATTCGAGGCCGTCAAATCATTATCTTCGGTTACACGTGTCTCGACAATACCGGCAACATCGGCATTGAGTCGCGGATCAATGACAATTCGTACACGTCCGACGTATATTGTGCAATTCGTCACTTGTATGGCACGATCGTCCGATTCCGGACGATTTTCTTTTTCGTTACTTGACATTTTTACAACGTGCTCCGCAATAATAACATAGTTTATTTTGAATTAGTAGCTGTAATATTTCTTAGTACATACCTTTTCTATATTTAATATAAATTATAATTATTGATAGTGTAACAATTTCGAATTGAAGTGTTTGACTTGTCGTTAGGAAATAAATCTCCAATGTTGGATACAATTTATTTAGCCAACGCATACATAAAAGCAAAACAAAATTAAAGAATAATAGGAGAATAACATTTTTTTAAATTTTTATTTAAACTTAATCCCTCCACCCATTTCAAAATCCTGGAGACTATAAATAATTGTATACGCAATTGTGCTTTACATACATCAGACTTAGCTATTTAGGACACCATAACCATGTAATTTCGGACATTAGTCCAGTGGATCAAAAGTTAAATACTGGGGGAGGTTCTAAAAAAATATGTTATAGCTTACAGGTAATGAACTGAAAAAACCTAGTTTAAAATAATAAAGTAGGAACATAACATTTTTTTTAAACATCTTATTTATAGTACTCTATATTCTATGTAGTACATTACTCAATTAACTATAAATGTTTTTGTAAGTTCAAGGGAACATTAGACTGGGGATTTGATGCAGCCTTGGACCCTCCCTGATTATATTTCCAAGAGCTAAGGAATTGTTTAAAGAAGGGATATAAACCTTTTCGAATCACAGTAGCATGGGGGGTTTGTTTTTACCATAGTCGCAACTATAGGTAGCTCCCACCTTCTTAGTATCCTCAAATAATTTGTTATCACCCCAAAATTGCTTAATTAATTGCCTATGCACTTATAACTTATTACTATAATGTATTTATTTATATTATACTATGAATAAAAATTGGCTATGGACTAGTATCAATGGCCTCATTTCAGATTTGTTCATGGATGTGTAGATAGCCTGGTACCCGTATATACAATAGCACTCATATTAACACTATGGCCATGGGTGGCAGCTACGAGCAGGCGCGTCCCCGGTAGGGCGAAGGGGCGTTCGCCCCTGCCATAACAATTTGTAATATAATATATAATTACTAATATGTCAACAAAATTAAAATGATCAAAATGATTTTAATTTTCCGTTATATCTAAGTAGAAAAAAATAAATCTCTACAAAGATAATAAATCATTATCTAGTTATTTTTTAAAACATAATATATAGGGACCTATACTTTATACACTACACACTATACACTGTCTTGCTATGGAAACCCATTATTAATTAAAATTGATCAAAATGTAGGTAATAAAATATATAAAACACAGTACCTACCAATGTGCCATTTGAAACTACTGAATACTGTGTTTTTTTAACAGGTAACTGCTACATCATTTTTCAGTACATTTCCAGAAGTACCACGTGTACCATTTTTGGTACACTTGTTGTTTTGCAAATAAGTTTTTGTATACTAGATGTGGACATGTGGTACACGGGAGTCTTTGCTAAAAAGTGTTATGTGTACCTTCAATGGTACACGTAAATACGATTTTAATACAGGAAAATATTTCGCAGCTCACCAGATAAACAAATTTTCGAAAAGCCCATTGATATCTTTTAAATTCATTTTTTTAGGTAAAAAAAAATAAAAAAAAACAATTATAATTTTAAATGATGTATTTATTCTAATAATATTATAATTTTAATTTAATTATATAACAATTTATAATATATTTTGATTAGAAATATTACTAATGATTTTTTTACTTTAATATTATGGTTCGTTGAAAAGCATCGTAGACAATAATATCGTTCAAATATTTCACATTTTGTGTGTACACTTTTTGCGTTTTTTCTTGCATTGATCGTGCCTATAACAAAATAAAATTAAAATAGTAGAAATATACATCGACCCAATAATATTCTATAATTTAATATTTTACTTTCTTCACGGCAACCTTGCTTGTAGCATCTTGTCCTTTTTTTATCTTTGACTTAAGTATGTTGTGCTATAATTGTCGATGTTTGTTGCGAGTTGACCTCTTTTTTTCAACCATATCGAGAGAAATGTCTTCTCTAAATTGTGTAATAGATTTGTTGTTATTGGTGATTGCTTTGTAAAGACTAAATGCATTTACTAATGCTGTAGTACCTTGTACATATTATGTCAAAGGCTACTTTACGATGCCATTTTACTCCTTTGCGTAAACAGGTGTGGTAAGAACCTATCTGATCACTTACATCAATCAATGATGTAATGACTTTCATCATCCTTTGCCACAGTTGTAATCAATAATCGCAATAGGTTTTATTCTTGTACATCGGTTTCTTTCCACTTTTTTATTCGAGCATTACGAGATAGGTTGAATGAATTTTTTTTATCATTTGCATACCGGTTAGTGTCGAGTACTATAAGTTTCAAACTTCGTCATCAAATAATAAATATAATGCAACAAAATCATAAGGGCTACAACAGTCAATCATTGTTCAATAATATCTTCATTTATCCCAACGCATTCATTATTTGGACTATAAATTATACCTATTAGAATTTGGTTGTTCGTCTATAACATTATTCCAATCATTACAATTACCACGCATCACAGGAAAAGCAAAAGACTCATCCTCAGAACTACTGCTATCATCTTCATCATTCCAGTTAGGATCTTCGTCAGTATCATCAAACGAACTTTCTGAAGATAAATCTAATAAACTAGAAATTTCATTACGATTCATTTTATTTAAATTATTATAAAACACGTACTCGCGTATACGACAACTAACAACTATCGAGGGACAGAAAAATGATTGAATGACAGATAACAATTCAATAGGTATAATTTGAATACAATTCTAAAAATATACTTTTTCCCAACAATTATATTTTACAATTTTAATACAAAATCATTATCAGTAATGAAAACGCAAACATCGAATTTTATTTAGATCTGACTTTCCCAGGGGGCTACGTGTACCATATTTTGTACACAATTGAAAATCATTAATTTCGATACAAAAACACATTGTGTAATCACATAATAAACTAAAATAAAAATATCAAACATTTTCATAAAGATAAATGTCCGTAGCAAATAAGGTATGTTCGCTACTTTTTGGGTTAGCACGAATGGCAAATCAACAATGTACCAAAAATGGTACACATAGCGGTTAACCTGTGTTAATTATTTTTTTATGATTTGATAAATGTTGTCATCAAAAATAAACCGGATTACCTAATGTACAACACTCATGTACTTACAGTACTCATTTTGTCAAATTTTGTTTTCATAGTTGATATTCGATTCAATACAAACGTATGCAGAACTTTACTCTGTTCGAATTAAGAGGACGTCATATCAGCATAAGTCCGGTCTTACACATATACGATATTACAAATTTTAGTTCACCACATTCAATAGTGTGCTGTTAGCTTTCATATTATAATGAATTGACCTTTTCTACAATTTAAAGTTGTAATTTTTTCTAGGGCCCCACGTAGACATTTATTGTCGTTATTATTATTAAGTAAGTTATGACTTTGTTGAAAGTCTAGGCTCTAGATAATAATTTTACCTCTAAATCTTACAATAGATCAATTCACTCTAATATGAAAACTAATAGCCACACTATTGAATCTGGTGAACGAAAATTTGTTATATCGTACGTGTGTAAAACGGAGACGACGCATAAGAGTACGATGTCCTCTTGAGAAACGTAGAACACAGCTGACTGCTTCACAAGGGAGTGACAATATAAAAATAATATACAGGGCAGGTGTACGAATAGTTGTTACTGTACGGGTGACCAATAGATGTTGAGGGACTGCTGTCCGCCGAAAACTGGTCGCCACCGATTACATTCCTTAATTTTAGCAAGTGGCGGTGAAGTGAAGTGGTAGGTAGTGGTAGGTCAGAGGTAGTTTTTGATGGTAGCAGTTGTAGTAGTATTTGGTGCACTTATGACTAATACATCGGAAACGCTATATTTCATTATAGTTCATCTTCGTTCACTTTAATTTTTAAACCAACAAAGGCACAAGGCTAAACATGAACAGATGAGTAATGCAGGGCACACACCTAATCAGTGAGGTGACCATGTAGGTATATTACCTACTACAGGATGGATAAGACATTTGTGATTATTATACTTAACTTTCCTATATGAAAATATTTTAAGTTATTTAGATTTTATCACAAATATATTTAGGAAATTCTAGAAATTCCTTAGGCTAAACCGGTGTGGAAAATAACATACTTAAATGTTTGGACAATATCATTTATCCCGGTGCGTGATAATGTGATATAATTTTAAAACGATTTAGTTTAGCTATTAGTATTTCGCTCTTTCCCATTCCCCCACACCCCCTCTTAATTGTTAATATAATTAATGTCAACACATTATTGAATATCTATGGGGGGTGACAGATTCGCAGTGCGAAATGGACGGCAAGTTTATTGCAATGGTCGTACAGTGGGCCGCATGCAATGGGTAGTGGGAGTTTTTTTCACTGCATTGGTGTGCGCCCGGCCTAACACAAATGCGAGTATAGCATTTTATCTCTTAAACGCATTATATTACTTAACTTTTTGAGTTTCACTAACAGTTCATTGAAACCATCGTTCTAGTTCTACGTAAAAACTACTTTGTATGCAGAGATAGTAAAAACACCTTTTATTATCTATGTTAGATTGAAACCATGATATCCCGAATAGGACATTATAAATTTGTATGAAAAAAATGATAACATTGTTGTCATATCGATTTATTAACAGAAATATTGATAAGATTTCAAAAGTGTAAGCAATTGATAACTTCACCGTCTTCAACATTTTGTATTTTTTTTCCTTTGTGTTCGGGTTAGGTTAGGTTATTCGGTTCTTGTCACTCTTGATCTTTTTCAAACCTGGTAAAGCAATATTTTATAATTTTATTTTCACTGTAACTTAACTTTTTTTAAATTATAGCGTTATAAGATAACACAAAGAGACAAGCTATACAACATTTACACAATTTTACGAACGGGGAGAAAATTGTTTATTGATATGTTGTTGGCAATCATCGAAAATATGATAGTAAGTAAGGTTTAAAATTTATATTATACCTATCACCAACTTACAATGTTGTATATTATTTATTATACTGATTATCTATAATATTAATTGGCATTTTATCAATGTAAATTTACAAAATATAAAATGTTTTCAATCCATTTGTAAGTAATACCTAGGTAATAATTGATGAATAGTATAATTGTATTAGTTAATCATAGTATTTGGATGATGTAGACAATGTGCTATCCAATTATCATTTTTATCATAATCCAGGTATGAATAAGTGGCGATTAAAGGCCATAACCCAAACACTTTTTTCTCTGACTGCCAATTTGGGGAGATTAATCATTTATTCCAAAATAAAAATAAAGTAATGTTTTAGTAATGCTTTAATAATTAACAATTTTGTAAAAAATATAACAAATTAACAAATAACTAGGTTTTTTTTAAACAAATTTTTTGTCTCCAACTATTGTAGAAAAATATAGGTACATATTTTTTTTTAAATACAGGGCATGTTTCAAATATTTTTTAAATTTGTTTATAATATTTAATAAAATAAGAATTGTAAATCATGCAGTAATACCTAAGAAATATAATTAATATACTAGTTAGTACTACTATGTATAGGTATACTATTAAAAGTAAATAAAATGTTTTTGTCATATTCGACTTAAATTTTGTTTTTTGTGCTATCTTGATTCTTTGATACAATCAAATTATACTTTATCAAATAATAAACAATTTAAATTTAAATTTTATAAGAAGAACAATCATGAATAATGTTCAACTATAAACGATTATAACTGCAGTATGCGAGTATGTAGCTGTTAAAAAATAAGTATTCGTAATAGTAAAGTTATTTTACCAGAAATGAATCACTATATTTCCAATTAAAATTTTACTGTATCTAACATAACAGGATTACAAAAAACTATTTTCCATGTTAGTAAAAGACAACTTTATTTAAATCCTAAATCATTGTAGGTATTATGTTGATATAGCATTTAACACTATAGATTTGATTACTTATAAAGACAAACATTATTTTTAAAATTAACAAATTCTATTTTGTTTTTAAATTATAAATTTTTTGTAAGTTGGAAACTATATTCATTGACAGAACTTTTGTATTGTCCAACATATTTTAATCAGTTCTATGAATTACCTTTATATTAAAGAATATAAATGTGCGTACCTTTATTATTTTGTATTTTAAATGATAAAATGATAGTAACATACACATTTGCCTTATTTTTGGTTAAAATAAAGCTACGAACAATTGTAGTTGATTGTTTGATCAAAATAAATTATGTTACTGTTAATTTTGAATGATCTATACTCCAGGCTGTATAAACGGTAAGTCCTATATTAGAAATTCTAGGCTTTTTTTTTAACTTCATACAATATAGGTATAGAAAAATACAAGCTCTGGGGTTAACTTCAGGGTTTATAAATTGTAATATAAGTTTATAATCATAATAAGTGGTTACAATTTACAGTTGAGTGATATAACTTAACTTTACTTAATCTAAATTAAGTTTTGATTTGTCTTATTGGAGAGTGAGTTTATAGTAGCAATTCTAAATGATTCTAAATTGTATGAATATGATTACTATTTAACTAAAATCTCCAATAACTGTGAATCTTTTCATGCTCACTTAATTTAACAGCTTTATAAATCATATCCTAATATTTTTTAGATTCTAGAATTTTTTTTACATTTGAACCACCGATTTAAGCAACAACGTAAGTCATAAAAACTCACAAATTGAGATATTGAGTGCAATGTGTTATCAAATGATAGACTGATTATGTGTGAACATTTGCAAAAAAAAATATTTAATTTTACCACTGTAAATAATCGGTATGAAAGATAAATAACCATATGTCACTAGTAGCGTAAAAACAGTTTTTTCTTGTTTTCTCAGAATTACCTTTTATGGACGTTAGTCGGTTCTCAAATAGATTGTTCATTTTTAGACAATTTAATCCAACCAATTCAAACAGATTTTTATACTAAAATTAATAGCAGTATTAACAATATTCCAAAAATTTCACATGCAAAAATCAGATTAAAAAAACCAAAAAAAAACTAAAAACTTTAAAGTAATGAATAGTTAAGAAAAAATAAAAATTGACTTGTTATACATATTTACAAATAGACACAATTAATTAAAATAAGGACTGAGATGTACTAAAGGAGGAATATTTATGTACTATAATTTTTATTTTTTTTTTATTTTTATAATTTTGATTAAAAAAAAAAGTGTTTAGTAAAACTATTTATTTTATTTATTTATTAAAGTCAAAAAATTAAAATATATTACTGACTATTATTTTACTACAATTTATATGATTGATTATTATTTCAAAAACAATTTTTTTATTCACTATTATTTGACAAAAATGTGTATTAGAACTGTGTTATAGCTATAAAAATAAATGATTGTTATTAAAATGTTAAATTTTATTTCCTAATTAATTAATCAATTACTTTTTATTCAAATTCTACTATCCATATAATTAATTTCTATTTTATATCATATTCATAACACTTTTGCAAAACTCTGATAAACCAAGAATAAACCAATATTACTGTAAAATGTGTATAAAGCTAAATTTTTAGCACATATTATTGGGTTTTACTCAATATAAATTAATTTTGTTTTCTCAAATTTGCAATACTCCTATCTAGAGCAAAGATCCTTATTATATTATGTTGTAAACAGAATGATATTTCCTGTGCATTGACTGAATAGTTTTTTATTTTAATATTTTACAAAGTTGTCAATGGTTTTGTGTTAGGAATAAGCAAAATGAAGTTACCCTATTTTATCAATTGCATTTTGAAAACCTCAGGAAACAAATATAGATACATCGTGCATGTTTCGATCTCATAGTTCACTAGGAATTTAGTAACAAAAATGAGTGCATTAGATCTGTTCATGATGTAAATAATATCTTCTCTACATTGTGGATCCGTAAAACATTTGAAGCCATATGGGAAAATAAAACTTAAAGATAGGAGTGGAGCTTATTGTCTTTCATAAATGTTTGTCTAATAGGTATTCTAGTATCAATTATCATTAATAGACACATTTTTAGTATTTATATGGATTTTATCTATATTAACAGTGAACATCCATGTATAAAAACGTGATTTTCATAACTATATTAGTTTTATGTGTTGATCTTTTCTTCTTATTAATCATTTTATGAGCTTGATAATATAATCATATTGAACAGAAAACTAGACTACCAAACAATAGGGATATTATTGGAAATTCCTGAAAATATTTTTGAACAAATAATAGTTATTCTTTTAGAAGTAAATAATACAACAAAGAACATTTTTACAATTGTTGAGTAATTTTAAGTTAATTATTTATTTGTTTATATTGTTGTTTCATGTTTCATTAATCAATTTAAAATGTTGACATTTTTAAGATCTGTTGTAATTCGCCTAGTTCTCAGACTTGGTTATTTGAAGATTTTTAATTTTTTTTTCTATGTGTGGTTCCCTTTTTGTTATTTCTTTTGTGAATGAATATAATACATTTGGCACTAGATAACCATTAACCACACATTATAATTATGGACTGCAATCATTTCCCAGTTAGTTAATATCTACATATTCTAATATATCATTTAATTAATATAGTAATATAGAATTAATATATTCTCACAGACAACAATATTAAATATAAATACATAAATATTTTCATCATTATTCTTATTTAAAATTAAAATACGATCTCTTAAAAACATAGATTTATATAAAGCATGCATACAAAAAATACCTCAATTATAATATAATATCATATATATATTTCTTACCTGACAAAAAGCAATATTTTAGATTCTGAGTGTATTGATTATACAATTATGTGTTTTTTTTCATTTATTTTTGTGTCTATTATCATTCATCACCTTTTGGGGCAATAAAAATACTTTGATAATCTTCAGCAATATTTTTTCCAGTAGAAAAGTGCACCAAGTTGGTACTTTGTGGAGATAAAAAATGTAAAAAATTCTCAATAGTTTTCAAAAGTGGTAGGAAAAACATGAATTTTTACAAAATTGATTTTGGTTTTTGATGTAACTCTAAAAAAAATACTGTAAATATATGAGTTTTACACTGAATGTTTATATTCGGGTTTTCCATGCACTGTAACATTTTCAAAACATTTTGGCATTGTATTTGTTAAACTATTTATAGGCATGTGAAATTGTCTACTATTTTAGTATTTTTTTTTTTAACTTATGTTTTTAAAAAAAATGTCCGTCCGTCAATATACTTGAAAATGTAGTACATAGTTCCTCGTAATTTATTATCGGTGGGAACATAAAAAAAGTTGAGGTTAAATCCACAATGAACATGTGATTGTCGAATCAAAAATATCAAATTTTTTTGAGTTACTAATTCATAAAAATTTTACATTTTGTATCTAATGAAATTAATTTTGTCAAAAACTCTTTTTACGAGAAAACTCCTTTTTTCCTCCATTTTTTTTTACATCCAAAGTATCAACTAGGCCCAATTTGTTACTTGAAACCACCTTTCGAGAAATCCAGTTTTCCTGCCCCAAAAGTGTGATGAGACACAAAAAAAAATTGGTATTCTACAATGTCATCATTTTAACGTCAGACGCCCATAAAAAATAATTATGTAATGGTACTAAATATACTATTTTTCTTTAAGAAATACTTGCAAAGAATGTTGTTGTATTAAATGTTCAAAACTGTGATATAAATATTAAACATTTTATGAATTTTTACTACAAAATAATTAGGAAATTTAAGTGATTTTGACAAATGCCGTCAACATTAAAACTTGAAACGCTTATAAAATAACCATGCTCATTGCTCGTGTATTTTTAATGTTTCTGAATTGCTATAGGAACAACATATTATGTAAGATCTTGGGATATACGTAATTTGATCGCTGTAATTTTGATCGCACGTCAATTGGTAGCGGTCATTTGGACGCATGACAATTGGGATCGTTCAAAATTTCGTTGGGTGTAATTTCGAAACATGTTGCATTTGGTCTCATAAATTTACAATATACAATTTATTATAAAATTCAATACTTAATGATTCTTATATTTGTTTTGACATCGAAATTAACTATTAATTTAAAATACGTATACTTGTCACAGCTTAATTATTTATAAAAAGTAAAATAAAAATAAAATATAGATACACAGGTATGTATACAAAAATGAAACTTACTATATATACAAAAATTAAAATTATGACCAATACCATGTAAAATGTAGTCAATTAGATGATTATCGACATTTGAGCATACTTTTAACAGTTGATTGGGTAAATCAATGTACTTTTTTTTATTCAGCACATATGTAGGAAGTAATTGTTCTGATGTAATTTTAGTTAAACTTTTTTAATTATTTAGACAATCTATAAATCTCCGGATTATTTTTCTAGTAGAATTTGTCATTGATGAAAATTCATTGTGCCAGCCCTTTTCTTGTTATTTGTTCTAGGTAGATTTTAGGCGATCAAAATATTCCAGATTTCTTCTGGAAACAATAGGGGTCGACGATTTCCTCTCCTACCCAAAATACCAATCCTTATTCTATTTATGGTTCTTTTTGCTTCAATTGTTGCCATATTTTGTACATGATTATGTTTGTTGGATTATGTGACGTCATCTATTAAAAAAACTTATGAAATGTATAAACTAATATATGATATCATATACCTAAAATATATAGATTAATAATTTAACCTCGAATTTTATGAGCTCGACCAGTACGATTTTTTTTTCATTGCTTTTCAAAATTATTTTATCTTCAATCTTTCTATCTTGTTTCAGAATAAAATCATTATAAATTAAAAGATATCAACCCCGTTGACATTTTATAAACTGTAAAGATATAATAGGTAGGTAAGGCGTACATTATCCGTGTTCTGTATAATGGTGCTGTTCGATACAGACTAACAGTCAAAAAATCATTTATCATAAAATAAACTCTAAAGATACCTAATAGGCTAAACTGTATAACCTAAACATATTATATTAATATTATCAATACAGCCAAACGTTGGCGTATTTACATTTAGCATGCGTCAAAATGAATGGCGGCGAAATGTCAAACTCGTTCAAATGACCTCGATAAAATGAGAGTACACCAGGATCTTGTATAAATATTTTAAATATTTTTACGAAGTCCAAAAATGTTTATCGACACAATTCAAATATTTCGGATGCCTATAAATAGGTGCTTAACATTTCTATGAGTACAAGTCTAAAGTATGTTTTAGTGGAATGCTTCAATTGTGTACAATTAATATTTTTTTTAAAGAAATGGATGATACTAATTTTAGAACTGCCATTGGTTTCATACTAGTATTTATAATTAATAATGCTATTTATTCCTTTTGTGTTATAATATTATCGGTGTAATGAATATCTATTCAATTTAATGCAATACCAAATTTACACTCAGTTAAATATTGAATCAATTTATGTATTTTAAATTTTATCAAGCAATTAATATCATTTAATAAATAGTTTTTAAATTATATTAACCGTGTTTTTGGTTAGAAAAAGGTCTAAGGTCATTTAGTATCTATTCTGTATTCAGTATACAATAAAGCAAGATAAGAAATGTTTTAGCATTCAATTAATTATCAAATAGTTATTAAAAAATAGTAATAATAATTATTCTGGAACTTCATTTCTTTACAAACAAGATAGGTTTGTTAGTTGTGTTCTACAGTCTTTATGTTAAACACTCATGGTTTTAATAAAAATATATAATATCAAAATGGGATTATTATGCAGTTGTTCTAAACATCAAGAACATGAAAATAATTTAGTATGTAATAGTAATATAATAGTGGTATTAAACATTTTGTTTTCATTGAATGTGATAATTTATATATAACTATATTTACTATAACATTAAGAGGATGCCATACTTGCATTATTTGTCTCAGTCTTACACATGCATAACATAGCAAATTGTACTCTTTCAATAATTAATTTAACTCTGTTATGTTTAAGCTTAGAGTAAATAGACCTAAAATAAAATTAAAAAGTATGAATATTATCTAGTCGATGACATAGGTTTGTTTTTATATTTCAATTTTAAAGCTAGTTATAAGCATCTTATAATAGTAAATTATTTGTACATTTCAAAATGCCCATACCTCGTTTTAAAATAAAAACAAACCTATGTCATAAATTAGATAATTTTATTTCTTTTAAATTTTATAATAAGTCAATTCACTCTAAGCTTAAACATAACAGAGTTAACTGAATTATTCAGAGAGTACAATTTGCTATGTTATGCGTTTGTAAGACTGAGACATAGTATAAGGGTATGGCTTCCTCTTAATATTTATGACTATTTAATTATTATGTTTATTGGCAGAGATTCAAATATGTTCAATGCGTAAATAAAAACTCTCATCAACTTGATAAAAATACTGGCACCAAAGATTCTGTAGATAGTGATGACACCGAAGGAGCCTGTCAAACATCTTTAAGTAATTAGTATACAAAATATATTATTAAAACAATAATAATATGTATATTTTATGAACATGGTATTAATATTTAGGCACACTTTGCTCTGATACTGCTTTGTTGGGTATAAATGATGTTTCTGATGAATCTGTTATTGTACCCATTGATAATCCAGAAGGTAAAAGAAATTTTTCAAAATAATATTTTTATAATATAATTTAATGTTTAATTTTATTTATTGTAGGTTATGTGGAAACTGGAGTTTTGTGTCAATATTCTTTTGATGACTTTGAACCAATTAAGGTTATTGGTCGTGGTAGTTATGCCAAGGTGTTAATGGTTGAACTTAAACAAAACCAACGTGTCTATGCTATGAAAGTTATAAAAAAAGAACTTGGCAAAAAACATAAAGTAATTAATATATTTTAGTTAACAATAGTTGTAAATTATAATAGATATACTATATTGATGCTAAATATACAAGAACACGGTATATTTATTTTCAATTAAACATTGAACCATACTGCAATTGTGTATAAAAGAAGTACTTTTTTTCTTTCTATTTTTGTACTGGTATAAAAATGCCAATATTTTTTTAAATTTAACCAATCTATACTCTGTTTAAGTTTAGAAGCACAGTCTGTACCATGTTAACTCTCTATATAACCTGCCATATTGTCGTAGTACAACCATTTCTTTGTGTTCAAGCTGACCGCCGACTGTGTCTCTTAACTTAAATAGAGTATAATATGTTGTAATATGTTAACATATTATGTTTGATTGTGAAATAACAGACGATGATTTAAAATTGCATGGTCCGGTGGACAATAAATTAGTTATTGATTTTTTTTTTTTTTTTGGTTTTTCTGTTATTAACTATTATAAATGTATAACTCACAGAACAATTTGCTTTACCTTACTCCATTTATACATTTAAAATAATAACATAATTACACATATGAACTATTTTTGTGTTGACCAATCTCTCCCAAGAAGAAAACAATAATTTTTCACTAATGTTTGGATTTGTAGGCAAAAGCTTTTTTTTAAATAATTTTAATAGAGAAATAATTTTTATATAAAAATATGTCATTTAATATTTAAGATGATTGATGTATTTTTTATTTATTCTTTATTTTTTGGTCTTTTTTACTAATAATGACTTTTATGCTTTTAATATCCAATTGATTTGATGGTTTTATACCTGGCATACGCATTAACGGTACAAATCATTAAGATCTTCTGAATATGGTGCATTGACACTATCAATTATTTTTAATGGTTTATTATTGATGATATTTATCGATATCGCTAAATACTTAATCGATTATATGGTATGGCCAGTTAATTCAACATTTATAAAAGTACCCATACTATCTATCTATAGATTAAAATATGTTCATAAGGCATACTACATTTGAAATTGTTTGTCAGTCCTCATTCGTAAGCCCAAACTGTCAATGTTTTACTGAAGACAATTTATCTGAGTACATGGTGGTGAATTTTTTTTAACACTAACTATTTAATTTTGTACCTAGTAATTTTTTTTTATAAATGCTTTTTATAATATAAATCAAATGCTTTTTTTATTGATTATCTTGCCTTTAAATCCACACCCTATTCATCACTATTGATGAATCACTATTTAAAATCAAAATAGTTTTTTTTAATTGCTTGTTTGTTTTTTATTAGTATATTAAAAAAAATATAGACATAAGGTAAGATTGTAATATTGTGTTTATATAACTGAATAGTTGAATAATACCTTAGATCATATTTTATTATAAATGGTGTCATGTTCATTTTGCTATTGTAATCAATTTGAAGCACATAATATAACCAATAAGTCTATGACTGATATGCTTTATGTGTTAGACAAACCGTCACATATTTAGCTGTTGATCGCTGGCTAATTTATATTTATATACATTAGTTTACATATATAAATATGGATAATTTTTTTTTTGCGCTTGGTTCCCTTTGTAAATGTGCACATTAAGTATCTCAATTAGAGGCTTGTTTCTTATATGAGTTTCAAGTTATTGAGGTATGGATACATAGTTTATAATCTAAGGACAATAGGTACATAAACAATTTTTACTATACACATATATAATACATATTTTAAATTTTAGAATAATAATTGGATACAAACAGAAAAAGATATTTTTAAAATTGCCTCTGAGTATCCATTTTTGGTTGCTCTCCATTCTTGCTTCCAAACAGTCAGCCGCTTTTGCTTTGTGATGGAATTTGCTCGTGGAGGTGACTTATTGAATCTTATGCAAGAAAAAAGACGATTATCTGAAGATCATGGCAGATTTTATGCAGCAGAAATTAGTTTGGCTTTAAATTTTTTACATACTAGAGGTATAATCAATTGTTTCTTGATTAATATAATAATGTATTCATTGTAATCATTGACACAGTCATAATGTAATTAATATTTTAATTTATTTCAATTTTATAATCCAACAGCTTTTGTTTGTCACATAACTATAGAATTGTTTGATAGACCAAATCTTTAAAAAAATGTAATATAAATAATAAGACATAATTATCAAGTTAACACTTAAAAGCAAGAATAATGCTTCGATCAATCAAAACGTGGTTTCTGTTAGAAAATTTTATTTTATTTTCTAAAATGTGAAAAACTTTTTAATTTTAACTGTATTTTTTAAATATTCAGGAAAACTAAAAGAAATGTATGGAAAATACTAAAATCTACACTACATAGTGATTAACGAAAGTTTTGCTTATTTGTTTTATCAGAACATAAATAACTTTTGCTTTTCACAAAATATTTATATTAGCATTTCGTAGACATGTTATAATTTTAAAAAATCTTTTGAGGTTTTTGAGCGAATCGTAAACTTGTGAAATTTTCAACTCTTTTAATTTTTTTTCAATTTATATTGATAAAAAAAATTTTAAGTACCTATTTAATGTAATTCAAAAATTGCGAACTGTTGGGACCGTGGTTTTATTTTATTGTATTTGAATGAACATAAAAATAATTTTTCGTATGTGTAACAATGAATATAAAAATTTAACACATCTACATCAATGATCTCTGGGAAAAATCAAAACTTTCATTGCAGCAAAGTAGTTTTTCCCGTTCTTTAGAATTTTAAATTGCTTGTTTTTAAATTTTAAATTCATTCATTTCACAGATCTTCTTATGGGACACCAATATTCCATGTTTGTGTTCTTGGATACAGATAGCATATCAATTTTTTTCATTAACTTATAAACAATTTTCAATTATTTTTTGTCAATTTATTGGCACTTAATTATCAATACATATTAATATTAATATAATTATCTGATTAATAACCCATTTTGTATTAGTTAATTATCATAATCAAGTAATAAATACTAGTTGATTGATCATGCAAAATGTTTGAATCAATGCAACTGTTTAAATACAAGTTCCAAGTTAATTATTTGTTTTTATATTGGCCTATTTCAGGTATAATATACCGAGATTTAAAACTAGAAAATATATTACTTGATCACGAGGGCCATATAAAATTAACGGATTATGGAATGTGTAAGCAGGGCAAAAGGCGTAGATACACAACTTTTTCAATTTTAGGGACTGCAAATTACGTTGCTCCAGAAGTCTTAAAATATGAAGATTATGGATTAAGGTATACATTTTTCTAAACTAAATTGAATATACACACTGTGTAATTATTGATCTGTTGTTTGAAATAAAAACCATATGTTGTACACAATATATAGGTACCTTATATCGGCTACATCTAATTCAATTAAATATTTAATGTTAAACTCAATTTGTTCTGTTTTTCAGTGTGGATTGGTGGTCTTTAGGAATTCTTTTGTTTGAGATGTTGGTTGGCAAAAGTCCATTTGGTAATAGTGATATCCATGTATTTCAAGGTACTTATTATAACACAAACAATAGTTATTTTAAGATGACTCTACCAAAGAATTTTTCGAGACACATAATGGTCTGGTCGTTTGCTGAGAGGAATGGATTAAAGAAGTCCTTATGTGTTTGGGGGTTGGGGCGTTGAGAGATTGACGCCCGCCCCACATGGCTGTGGTTTGGTTACAGAGTGGCTGTATCAAGAGCTACTTATGACGGGGAAAGATTGTTGAGACTGTTGAGCCTTAACTTGACCCCCCGGATACCAAATTTTCGTCTCTAGTTTCAAAAATGCGCTGTTGGTTTTGATATTACAGTGAATTTATCGATTAGCAAATTTTTAAGTGAGAACATTGTTTATGATTTTTTAAGCGTGTGCATTTTTTTTCAATATTTTAATTTTTAAGCAATAAATGGATACGTGGAATATTACAAACTAAAAATGCTCAAATCTTACTTTAAAATTAAAACATTGAACAAAATCTGACACTTCGGCACTGATAATATTCTTACATAAAGAGTAAACTAACAGCTCACTATTGAAACTAGTCATCAAAAATGTGTGGTTTTGTATGTGTGTAAGGCAGAGATAACATATGCACGGATAGCGTTCTCTTTGAAAAACAGTTTCCTCATTGTTTGAAATTGTATTTTATAGATGTTTTGACTAGACCTCTTCGTATTCCAAAATCACTTTCTGTAGAAGCAGCTTCAGTTTTAATGGGGTTTTTAAATAAAAACCCTTCCTATCGTTTGGGTTGCGATGAAAACAATGGCTTCTGTGGTGTTAAACATCACTTATTCTTCAAATCTGTTGATTGGGAAATGGTAAATCATATACACAATTTTTTGTTTCAAATTCTATACATTGCTACAACACTTATAAAATGTAATTAAATAATGTATATGATTTTAGTTAGAACAAAAGAAAGTTGTTCCTTGTTATATACCACAACTAAATTCAGATCGCGACTTTGCCAATTTTCCGACAGAATTTACGGATCAAGATGTAGCCTGTACACCCGATAATCCGTAAGTATATTTAACATTTGTAATTATTAAAAAATTTCTTAAGAAAGAAAAAATAGTAATACTATGATTTAAATAATAATAATAATTAATAATTGATAGATATATTAGTAATGTACAAACTTAAGAATTAGAAATATTACGTACCTATAAGTTTAAATTTTCACATAAGTAAATAATATTAACAGATTTTTTATGAACGCTTTTGTAATTGATAGGTATTATTAATTATTATAATGTTATGTATTATACGAGCTGTGTTACTAGTTACTACTAATCAGTTCTATGGTATTTTATTGTATAATGTTTATACGTCATTAAGTAAGTATTTACGTATATATTTTGAAATTTGACTTTTGACTTACTTTATCATCGTTACGTGCATCCGGCGTTCGTTAAATTCTATACAAAGTGGCCATATGAACGGTATGGGCAACTATAAATACGAAAATACCTGAGAACTCAACTATTAATCGTGTTTATTGTGGCCTTTTCGGTGACAATACATTTTAATCATTGGTCTTTTGAGTGTAAAACGTGTAATATTCGATATTTTCATATAATTTAACCATACAAGTTTGATTTAAAAGTTTGATTGACCATGGTGTTTAGAAGAAAAAAATACGAATAATTTAAAAAGAAAATCAAATTTAATACATTTATTTTAAAAATTATACCTAATTCTAATTTTGCAAATTTTGGGCTTAGAATATAAATTGATAAATCAAAACTACTTGAAGATGAGACAATCAATCCGAAAATTATTAGTTGCAATTAAAATAAAAATCTAGTTATGTTACACATGAGCAAAACACACGAGCTTAAAAAATTGTAACTCATAGAAATGTATGATCCATTAGTCTAGTTCAGTGGTGGCCAAACTACGGCCCGCCATCATTTAATATCTGGCCCGCGAAAGAAGTAGAATATTTTACATTTACGTAAAAAAAAAAATTAAAAATATACAGTATACATTCTTCATATTTAATCCCGTATCGCCATATCGTAGCGTTTTTGTTGTTACAATGTAATTTAATAATATAAATAGCATTACCGTATCTTATCTTATTTTCATACGATCACCATGGCTGTAGAAACTACAATACTACAATATTATATTAGTAGTATAGCAATATATAGTAATACAACATATAGTAATATTACTGTGCTCGTAATTTAATTTTCTTTTATTTGTAGTAATTATTAAGTTAAGTATTAAATAAAGTCATTAAAATTATTAAGTACAATAAAAATGTCGTGAATTATAAAATTATATACCTATACCTAAAATTCTGATGACTTTAAAGTAAAAAAAATTTTTATGGCCCGCGGTCAAAAAATTTTTTTTTTTATGGCCCGAGTTAAAAAAAGGTTGGCCACCACTGGTCTAGTTGAATGTCCCACAAACAGAATTGAAAATAATTTATAGGGTAATCAGTGATAAAGTGTACCTACCCTATTTCCGTCGACACTTGCGATTAAGATCGTACTATCATAGATAAGTCAAAAAAGATAAAACGTTCTCATTTGTATGTAAACCTTGTGCAAGCACCATTTTTACATGCGAATTTTCGAAAATCATTTCTTAGTGCAGACTTACTTAGCGATACAAAAATACGGTGTACATTTTGTCCCAGACTATCATTGTTTAGGTTCTATGTTGAGAAGTCAGGACACGTTTGCTTATATTATATTTTAGCAATCCCGCCCGGCGTTGTCAATGGAGCTTGGCTTGTGATCTGCTGTAGATTGCGTACCCCGTGAGGTATGTAAATATATAATTTCTCACTCTAAAATTTCAAAGTTATACCAAATTAATTAATTAATACGACCTTTAGTGGATTAGATACGCTTGTCTGGTGGTTTTTGATATGTCTGTATGCCAGGACTTCGCCGAAAACAAATTATCAATTAATGTAAAATATGATGTTATATCGGTTTTTTGTACCTCAGTTTAGTTTGTATAGCTCTTGGTGTATTTGCAAACGTTGTTCATACTACTCTCTAAATTTTTTTTATAGCTCTAAAAACAATTTCTTAAATGTTCGTTAAGACCCGTAGAGAAGTTTTCGCACATATAGGCTACAAAAATATAGAAGATGAATTTTATGAATAAACTCTCATATTAAGATATAATATGCGAACATCGTTTATTATTTCCTGTTGTCGTTTTATAAATGTGCTTATCGAAAAAAATATTGATGCACCTCGTTTGTTAGAACAACCCGATATATTATGTGTCCTGGTCAGCATCAGGCTTAAGGGATTATTTTACGTACTTACCAATTAATCATACTAATTTTGCTAATAATTCTCCCCTCATCAAATATATATCGATAGACAATAGCAATGTTTAATTACTTCAATACATCTAGTTTTAAAATTGTTCTATATGTTATTACAATTAATTTTTTGTGTAATCCTACTTTTGTTCGTCATAAGATTGTTAATTATATTACTTAGTTTATATTGTTCCAAAAGCCGTTTGGCGTTTATTCTAATACCTAGATAAATAAATAATTTGTTTATTCGAGGTCATAAACGCAGCAAAAATTGCAACCATTTATAAAAAAAAAAAATACCAATTTCTACTATTACAATTTACAGTTAAAATTTGAAGACTTTAATCAATAGCAAGTTGAATATAAAATCAAGTTATACTAAAATTAAAACCAATATGTCTAACTCTCAAAAATTCGATTTTAAAAACGACTCTATATACGTGAATGCATTTTGTCTGCATCGTGCATGAGTCTGTAAGATAAGACAATTAATTTTGCGCCAACATCTTCCTTAAAAAAAGGTCAATATGCTCAGTGTGACTAAATGAATGTGCGAGGCTTATAGATTTTTTCTATAAATGTATAATCTCCCGCTCCCCTAAAGAAAATCCCTAATTACGTCACTGCCCACACTATATAACATATAATACTTTAGAAACAGTTTTGTTGTTTTGTACTAGGTTTCGTAATTGGTAAATACTAAATAGGTACCTACAGCCCTATGGTGGTCCTTAATTATTGGAGTATTTTTTTTTCGATTAAAATCTTATAAATAAAAATTGCCTGTACAATTTGAAATCAATCTGATGACGAAAACAGGTACCACATAGTGGCAGCGACAGGGTCAATGGCCCCACTAGAAAATTCTTAGCCCTACCTGTGAATCTATCACTGGCCTGGTCTTAGACATACTAACTATAAATAATAGTCATTATTTTATAAGCCAAAAATAATGGTATTCACATTTTATGATAGGTACCTACTAGGTATATAATATTTTAAGATAATAATTGATAACACTACTGGAACTTACTCTTATTTATAATTTGTTGGTATTATTATTAACATGTATTAAGATAGTATCTTAATATTCGTAATAACTTACCCATAAAAAAAAACACCAAAAGGGTTAGAAAAATGTTCATATGAAAATAGCACTATGGAAAAAAAGTATTGATAGAAGAAAATTAATTCAATCTGTAAATTTCCATAGTATTTTGGAAAAAATAACAAATGAGTTAGATAAGTGATTTGGTGATAATTCTGATCTTATTAGTGGGATACGTGCCCTTAATTCAGAATCTTTAAAAGTTTTAATATGTCATGACACCACACTGCTTTTTGCACAAGCTTATTTGGGTGACATAGAAAGACTAAAATCAGATTTAAAAATGTATTGGAAAATTATGAATCGTTATGAAACAAAAAATAATTTAAAATTTAAAGAGATTTTCTTCTTTTATAAATTTCTTAAGGAATATGAAATAGCATTTTCAGAAACATATAAATTATGCTATATTGCTATAACAATACCCGTGTGGTCGTGTCTTTACCCATCAGCTGCATGGGAAAATACATTTTCATTTATGAAATATGTTAAAAGTTATTTAAACAGTGAAATAGTTTACTAGACACTAACCTTACAAATATATCAATTGAAAAATGTGAGGCAAAATTACTAGATTGTGATGAAATTATAAACAAGTTTGCGGTGCGCATACAAATCGTACAACTATTTTATAGGAGTATTGTCATGGTGCTGCAAATTGTAATCATTTAAACATTTAAAATGTTAAGATATTATTGTAATTAGGCTATATTAGCTCATATTAATCGTTATATTTGTATTATTAATTTATTTTTGCTAAAGTCTCATTTTTTATGGCCTTACCTTATAATTGTTGACCTCTGATTTGCCCTACAAAAAAATAATCCCGACAAAATAAAAGTAATACATACATTTTGAATTTTCGAAAAAACACGATAACATTTTTAAATGTTATAATTTGTTATATTTAAATAGGTGTAATTTATATTATGCTTTTACGCTTATATTATATTATGCATGTATAATGGAGTAGTTGGTTTATAGAATTATTTAAAATTGATTACATTTATGTAATGTTCTCGGGTCGGTAGTAATTACGTCAGCGTCGTATCTAATTATTGACGTTGTCCATTGCCTACGTTATCATACCAGTCTTTTTTTATTGCCATAAAATGAGTTGTTAGTGTTATTTGTTTATTAATAATATGAACACTCGTCATTATGATTTTCATCAATTTTATACATAATTGGTTACATTTCAGAGATGAACGTTAAATTTACCAATATAAAATATAATTGTTTGTGAATATTATATTCTATCAGTGCATTAGTAGTTTCATTTGATGAGATATATTAAATTGTATAAATTGTATTATTTCTTATTAAAGCGCAGTAATTCAAATCAATAAAAATAACATATCATAATATTAGATTGATAACTGAGGTAGTAGACTCTATTACTTATCTGAACAATGAGCCTATAATGTACAGGTAAAGAATAAAAACAAAATATTACTTTGAAAAAGTGTGTGTGTGTTACCAGTACGCGCGCGGGAAGTGAAACTTCTTTTGAATGGTACACGTGAATGAGTGAAAAAGAAAGAAAGGCATGGATAGACTGGGGTAATGAGGATAATAAAGGAAGAAAAGAAAGAATGTAAATTATATTTTTATATTTTTTTTAATTTTAATTTTTGTATTATTATGATTAATTATCATTTTGCTCAATCGGTATAGTAGTTATGATTGGCATATGATAACTAAAATAGGAAACGTACATTTGCGACTGAACAGTGAGCATTGTCGATATATCGCGTTAAAATTGCATCGATTGTTATACCTGATTTGGTAGTCTATATAGTTGGATCATTATTCAATTGCAAACTGAATTTGTCTAAGTTACGAGTGGTGTCGAATCATAAGATGCAAAATTAACATATTATAGAATATAATATAATATGTATATTATAATAAAATAATATTATGTAGTAGATATGTCGTATTATGTACATGATACGCTTCGTATAATTATTTATCTCATTATGGCGTATTTAATATTATTGTTAGCATTCTATATTAATTATGACTATTTATTTATTGAGTTGTTTAGTAACCCAACCAAAAAATCTGTCACTTAATGTTATACTTACAGGCAATGTTGGTATTATTTTCACATATTTTCACTTGTCACTAGATAATTTTTTTTCCTCTACATTAAATTATTTCATTTAATATAGTTGTTTAAAAAACAAAAAACACTATATAAATCATAACTCCCTAACCAAAAATCGGATAACGTTGATGTCGATACCAATCGATACAGCGGAGAGCCCTCTATAAGGCCCGACTACAAAAACGGTTCGACGTGCCTAAAAAAAGTGTCCGTGCAGAAACACCTCGAAAAACTCAAATGTTAAACTTTCAGGGCCCCGGAAGACGGGGAAAAACGTCTTGTACAGTCTCGACACAAGACGCCGAATTTCATCACTGACCTACGAACTATAAAAAAACTTGAGTTTCAGAAACGTGGGACGACACCTTGAGTTTTTCCGAAATAATTTTGAGGGGGGGTCAAAATTTCCCCGACTATGGTGGGGGGGGGAAATTTAGAGGGTCTAAAGATACAATTTTTGGTGGTAAAATGGGGTACCCAAGTTGAAACCGGACCGAGATATACTTAAATCAAAAAAAGGGGGGGTAACTTTCGGTATATTATACAAGTGGCCAACCAAAACCCATAGTTATTTACAAAATTACAAAATACAGCTACTACAATCCGCGGCTGCGTACACGGACATGTACGAGTTCGCGTTTGTACGACAACGTTCGTACGGCTGCCCGTTCGCTTTTTTTCCTCACTACCCTGCGTAAAGAAGTTTCACTTCAAAAAATATTACTTTGAATAACTGAGTTGTTCATATTGTTTTTAAAATCATTGATTTTTCCCGGATCCTTAAACTTAACTTAGTCACTCTTATTTTTCCGTATTTTAACTTAAATCGTTGAGAGTTGAATTTCTTGTTTGGTTAACTTATAATTATTGAGCACTTTGTTGTGATTTATAAATTAACCAACTAATTCATGCTAATCTTTATAAATTAGTATTAACTATAAATTCACTCAACTTTCATAACCCATCAAGTGGGGAAAATGTATAAGCTGTTATTATACTTACTTGTTATAATTATTTTAATATTCTAATTAAATACCGACATCAAATTTTAAGAAAAAAATTTAGATTTTGATAATATTCCAAATTGTTGAAGATGAATTTGAATCGACGATGATGACGATCTAGTCAAAACTTAATTCATATATTATAGTACAATTTTATAAATCAAATTTAATTTGAAATAATGAATTTTTTTCAATGAAGTAATTTCTATGTAAATATTTGTGAATTTAGATAGGAAGAGGAGGAGCGATAAGCTTTTTACCTACTACCTAGTATTTAAATTCTATAGCCCCTTCCCCTAATACATATCGTGTGGTCTATTATATTTTATTATAGGTACTTATTGTAATAATTACAGTTTCGTCTTAAATTATATATTTTACAGTTAAAATTATTATTATTTTTCAATCGAAATTTATGAAATGTGTATTATTGAGTGGTAAAAAGCGAAAGGAAGCCCCTCGGACTTGTACGTACAATACTTACAGAGATAAATATTATTTAATCCAGGCTCCATGTTATTACTCATCACCCGATTCCATAAAACCCATTTATAGCTGATGCACAGACAACTGAATAGCTGAATATAAAATAAAGATTAACATAAAAAAATTAGATAATATTATTATATTGATATATATAAGAGAAAGGTGGGTAATGCAGCCATTCTAGGTTTGATATATTATAATTAACAATATTTAATTTAAAAAGTTATAAACTAATGAACCAATAACAACCTCTAAAATATATTATCTTAAAAATGTGATACCTACCTATGCTATATTGTATTTTTAAAATTTGTTAGATTTTAATATGTCAATATAACTTATAAAAAAAAATGACAAAGTGGTTACCTGCATATGGTATTCATAATACATTTAATTTACTTTCAATTTTAAAATAGTACCCAATAGGTACAATGTATATTTGATATATGACGTCTTTGACTTGTTCAAATTGCATTGTTAATGATTATGTTTGTTTTTGAATTTTTCAGAGATTCCATCTATCATGTGGATTTGGAGGGTTTTGAGTATGTGAACCCTAATTTCAGAGACTAAAGTGTTAAGAGGACTTCGGCGACTTAATTTTAACCCATAATATGACGAAATACCATTATAACAAAACTATTGGCTATCCCTGTTTGCCGAAGATCTACTACCCTTGACTCTAGAAAATGGTTCAGCCTCAATAGCAAAAAAAAAAAATGACAATTTAAATCATATAATTATATTTTTACTATAAAATTATTTTTATAAACGTTTAGTTTTAATTAATTATTTTTATTTTTATATAGGTATATTATAATACGTATATACTTACATTATACACATTTTATATTTTATACTTTGTACAAGTTTAATAAGTTTCCACATCTTATGGGTTGGTTTTGCTCATTATTATAAAATTATTTTTATATATATATATAGATTTATACACATAATTAATATACATTTTTGTGTAATGTATGTTTATATAATGATCTAAAATGTGAATGGGTTATAAATTTACTTAATTTAACTATTACTATAATAAATAACATTCAAAATAATATTGATATATGTTTTTTTTTTTTACTTGCCAATGTAAGAAAAATAATCATATATGTTGTATTTAGTATTTGCAAATATGAAGTATATATTGTATGAGTAAATAATACATTAATTCCTACATATTTTACAATATATACTTTACATTATATATACTTTATACACACTAAATAATTTTCCACATCTTGTGGGATGGTTCAGCTTATGGCCCCTCAGAAAAAAAAATTTAATTCATATAATAAAACTATTTTTATAAATATTTAGTTATAATTATTATTATTTTTATTCATCATATATTATAGACTTATTGCAAGATTAATGTACATTTGTTTCTTTTACATGGTTGTATAATATTCTGAATGTGCTCAAGTTATGAATGTACTTAATTAAAATATTACTATAATAAATAACATTCAAATAGTAATGACATATTATGTACTTTTTAATTAACCATTGTAAACAAAATAAATATATATATGTTGTATTAAGTACTTACGAGTACAAAGTATATATTATACTGGTGTATAAGACCTATACCTAGACCTATATTATACTCAACAGTATACATACTTAAATACTTTTTACTTAATTCACAATAAATATGTTGTAACTTTCATAGTTTAAATAACTTTGACCGAAATCCTACAGTTATTTGTAACAAGCATAGTAGGTATGTTATAATATGCAAAATAATATCGTTATCACCCAAAATAAATCAACCTTATGCTAATTATTGACTATCCTATATCGTAAAAATTTGAACTTTAAACCAGGTTCTAAGACCGGTTCCTGAAGAAAATCTAAAATCCTGGACCTTGGTTATTAGCTTATAACTCATATTTTACAATGCTTAGACCTGAAACTAGAACCGGAACCCTTTTTAATGAAGAAATAAGATTTTCGGTTCTTCTAGGTTTTTATCACTTATAAGAAATGTTTGAAAATAGTATTTTAATTGGGTTTTGATGTAAGCAAATAGTATTTTTATAGAAATATTTTTTTTTTATCTAGTATTTTTATCTCGAATTACCTTGCGACCAATAATAATTAATTTATATATAAGCATGTGGATCGCATATTTCATCTGCAATACAACGAATATGATCGAACTACAGTGATGTATTTTGAATGATTACATGAAATGAATTACAAAATATATACGAATAACAATACTTAGTTGTTTATAACTCTTCCCTATTAAGAAATAGGTACCTAATGTTTGAAAAAATGCATTTTTTAAGAACTAGAATAGGAATCCTCACGGAAAAATTCCTTAAGGTTCCAGTTCTTGCTTTAAACGCATGCGGGAGCGTTACGCTATATTCTATTTTAGACTTCTATCGCACACACTGATGATCACTTACAAGTTACATCCCGTTAAAATATTATTAATCAGTTGTGCAGTGTTATGACATCGATATCATTATCAGACATTAGTGAGGCAGTAGTTTTAGTCATAGTGGATAGTCACGGAGGTGACCGTCAGTGGTTGGTACCATTCCCTTTTTAGACCATAGCAAGCCACGGTACATGCCATGGTATACCCCACAGCTAAAGCCGCCCACCCGATCTACGGCATCAAAATGCGGCCTTTTCTATAAGCACACATTTACTTGGCCTGCACCATAACGCATGTGAAGGGTCACTCTAGTACAGTCAATTTTAATTAAAAATACCTAATACTATACCAATAGTAATACCTTTATACTACCAGTGGACCTGGAGCCTGTTAAAATTAATTTGTAATTTTTGAAATATTGAAAGGCATACTAATTTCATATTATATAATATTTTACGATGTAAATGTCAATTACAATATATTAAGTTATTGTGGGACACCCGTATCGCTTGTAATTGGTTGTATTTAATTGGAGGTTTTGTATAGGGCCTGCAAAAACAATTAGTACAAGGGCCCAAAATATGAAGGGCGATTCTGTCTCAAAAATGGCAAAAATTGATTTTTGAAAAATATCCCATGACGTAATTAATGCATGATTGAAAGAATTGTAGTCAGCAATTTACATTTTATATTTATATTGGCCTCATATTTTATAAATACCCAATTGTAAATTGTATAATACTAATATTAGTGGCTTGGCGTGGCGCGTTGGCTGCTACCAGTCGCGGAATACGGCTGGGAGTAAGTAACGGCCACAACTACTAGCTACCGGATGGGTGACCACCCGGGTTCGTAGTAGTTAAAAACCTTGCCACATATACACGTGTTTGCTACCTACCGTAACAACCCTAAAAATCATAAAAAACAACCTACCGTACCAACCTTACCCCTACTACAATTCATAACCCCTATAACAGCTAATGGCCTTATAAGCCTTATTAGTTGCCGTCCTCAAGTTCAATGAAAAAAATTCTAATATTAATATATTAATAATATGATGTATGTACTTATGGTAGTTAGTACCTACCTATATTTGAATATTCAATAGTCTATATAAAATATTTTCTCCAATGATGTTCTAAATTTGTACAATCGTAGTTGTTGTCATTAAATTATTTAAAATCAATTTTTAAATAGTTTATGTTGGCACCTATATGGCATTATTATAGGCATATTTTGTATTCTATAATTCGATCCTAAACAATATGTTAAACCGTTGAAACCCATTTACATAGCATTTAGACACTAATTGGTTGATGGATAACTCAGGTATTCGGATGTAATTATAATTTATAATAGTCGTCTTCAGTGTGCGTTCTGCATGCGCTATCTGCATTTTAACTTATTAGTTTGGGGTTATATTTATAATGTTTACGATTTTGAATGTTTTTATATAGGTAGGTTCTCCAATTCAATATTTTATGTAGGTATTATTAGATAGACATTTGTGTCATAATGTCTAGACTAAAATAACAGAAGTGTAACATTTTGCTTATATTTACATATTTTCTGAAATGTAGCATATAAATGTATTTTGTCTTTTTGCTGGTTTTAATTAGGTATTTTATGTCCCGTGGGTTGAAACAAAATAATCCACCTGATATATAATATTATTATTGTTGACGATTTTTTTAAGACATTTTCTCTTTGAAACACCTTGGTAGTAGACCAACATGATCCACTCCGCTCAACTAAACGTTGATGTTTATAAGTTATTATTTATTTAAAATACAGGCCCTATAGTTATAAGATATAACAAATATAGGGCTTGTATTTTTAAGCAAAATGCATTATTTTTTAGTAAGTCCTCGGCAATGCTTTTTAATTAAAAAATAAGTTTTTTACATCAAAGAATTGAAACCTAAAGCATTTTTATTAGTTTTGGTGTTTTTTGAGCAATAGTTATTATAATTTTCAGCTCATAATAAGGATATTATTTCGGTTATAAAATGCATTTTTAAGAGCATTTTTAATATTTTAATATTTTTTAAGATTTTTAAATCAAGGCCTTACTTATAACCTAAACTCAAATCATTAAACTACTCACCCAAAATTTGATTTTAATATACTGAAATAATTCAAAAAATATACTGCTTTAGAATATGAACTAATTTGTTACAACTTGAAAATGTGTAAGATATTTGGCGGCTGTCAATGACCATTATGCAATAATCATTAAGATCTGTCGCTTCTGCAAGTAAACCAAATAAATAGTTGTAAATAACTAATAACTTTACTATGAGTTTGGTACCTACTTGAGAAATTAATAATTAATTTCTCAAGTAGGTAATTTATAATTTATTATTTTATTTTTTTATTATTGTTATTATTGTTATTATTATTATTATTATTATTATTATTATTATTATCCCTTAAATTTTTAGAATATGTGCCTATAAGGAAAATTGATTCATCTATCTATGACATTAATACTCTAGATTTTATCTATGGTTTATGATTTAATGTTCAATATAAATAACTAACAATTAATATTACCTCTAATGAATTTAAATTGTATAAACATTTATCACCTGTTTATTATGGTGAAATATTATTCCAACCATCTTAATAAAGAAACACATATTACGTAATTTATATGTACTTGTAATTGTAATTCATAATTATAAATATTTTTTAAATAACTTTTTTTGTTTTCATTAAATAACCAATGTATAAACCATTTTTAATGCTATTTTTAAATTTTTTTTATACATATATACTATTTAGATTATTATTTAGTACATAAGTGCAAACATATTTATTCGTTTTTAGGGAACAAACATCCTAACCTTAATGATTATAGTGTTATAAATCTCGAATTATCGGAGAGATTATAAGTAGGGCTCGGGACTTCTAGAAGTTTGCATGGTTTTTAAATAATCATTAAAAACATAGCTAGGTAATATAGAAATTTATTTCATAGCAATACAAGTTTATATTTAAAGTTCATAGCATATCTTACATATTTGACCATATTTCATTTTATTAGTGCATACTTGACAAATATTTATATGAGAGTTAAGTTTTTTAATTTTATAAAAAAAAGTTAATTTTAAATTGATTTCATTATAATTTTATTGTTACTTATCGGTACACCACACGCATGATTCACAATAGGCGATAAGCCGATAATGATATCAAAAAAACATTTTATAGACTATGGCTAGTTGTATATAGAGGTTAGACGGCCCCGTGAATAGTAAAAGTTGACAGTTGATAATGTGCGTTCTTCTTTTTTTGTTTTCGTGCCGTGTTTTTTCTTTCGAGTGAACTCATAATAACATAATTAAAAAACGCCTAGACCTAAACCAAAACCTTATGATCGGCTTAACGACTTTAAAAAAGAATTACATTTTTTTTAATGTATATTTTAATAGTATATATTTTATTGATTCTTTAGGGCATAAATACATGCATATTTTAAGGTTTTTAACGGCATTAAGTCCCTAGCCCAAATTATAAGCTTTGAGTGTATCGCTAACTCCTACGGAAGTTGTTCCCTATAAAGAGCACCTACATTGTATCCCGTAAAAAAGATATTCATAGGCCCTTATTATTATATTGGCCA